AATGCATAAACAAAATAAAAATACTAGCTTGACCCGTACGCGCCCGTTGTATGCATCGATTACAATCTGAGCTGTTTTGATAAAAAAATAAGTAATGGCTTAAGAATAAGAGAAGAAATTATACACTACTAAAGTATTTTAAACTGTAAATTTTTGTTAATTACTGCTATTCTAATTTTTCATTCAAATCGATTAGAATTATGTATTTTGAAATCAATAAATTAGTGAATGCACAAATACTTGCCGACTTAAAGCTTAAACAGACGGCCGCGTTGATCCGGACTAACTCGAACTTAATCCGGATCAACTGCAGTTAATTCCCCAGTTGATCGGGATCAACGCTGCCGTGTGTTTATGCTCTGAAATTGTGGCAAGCTCTGAAATTGTGGGAGAACATCCGCAAGTCTACAGAAAAAAAAAGTGCGAACAAGAAACACAGACATATCTTATTTTTTAGTTGTGGCTTGAATATTAAATGTTTACAATACATATTATGAGAGAGGCAGACAGTTCCATAACTTGCGGATTTTATCCCTCCTACCCTTACTTTGCGAGGAGCATACTGTGGTGGCGTGATAAAAACTGGCTGATTGCAAGCAGACTTTTCTGAAAAGACTAAAAATGGAATTACCTGTATGGGTGACCGGCTCAGAGAAAGTTTAAATTGTAATTCGAAAATACTTGCAATTAAAATCACATGAACTGCAATCAACTCAAACAAAACTACATACATATGTAAGTAAAAAATACAAATGAAATTAACAAGACGATCTATGTATATGTGGTACATGTAGAAGACTTCTTATTTTATAGGGAAAATATTTTTAAGCATGAATTACATTTATCGCTCATTTACTACATAGGTCACAACCGAAAAAACAGGTTTCTACTAATTGACTCTCATTATGAAACAACAACAATGAAAACAACACAAGCCATTAAAATTAATTTTTTTGCATAATGTGAACGATAACATAACGAATAACTCTGAATACTTATGTAAATAATTTGGTTGTTATATTAAGTAAATAAGCGTTATGTACTTACCCTGCAAAAAATTGTGCGACTAATCTCTAAAGAGAGTATTCCGAGATTACCTATCAGTATTCGCCTAACGAAACTGAGCACCCCGGTTCGAATCTCAGCTGGCGGAAATTTTTATTTTTATTTTTTAAAAGTGACTAGTCGCTTTTTATACCCTTTCGGGTATAAATGTGAACAATTAGTCTCTTCATAGGACATGCCCGAACAAAAGCGATCAGTTCATTCCATATAAAGAGATCAAAAGTGGTATTCGTCGCATGTTCCTTTGCGATTGCTCCCGGAGTCATCCCGGATTAGTCCCAATTTTTGCAGGGACCCTACAAGACGCGACATGAAATTTCATTAACTAAGTGCGTACATATCATTCAGTCGTTAATAGTACCCGTTAAAGATGACTTGGGGACTAATTGATCTCCAATTATACCCATAAGGGTTGAGTCGAGACTAATTAACCCCCGAAAGAGACTAGTTGGGACGAATTAATGCTCAATTGTACCCGATTGAGAGTAATCTCGGAATACTCTCTTTAGAGATTAGTCGCACAATTTTTTGCAGGGGTAGGTATTTGGCTTTTAAATGAAACGATAAAAAATGATTTACAATGAAGGACGTGTTTTTGTATTAAAAAAAACATCTGTTTTATTGTTTATAAATTAATACCTATACCTACATACTTATCTACATCTGTTTCACGAAATTAAAAAATAATACACGTTTCTCGATACTGCATCATGAAAAACTTTGTACCTAGTACCTAGTACCTATCTAGTATCTAGTAGCGCATATTAAAGTGCGCGCTGTTGTTGCTCGTACATATGTATGCACTTACGGATGTATGTACATACCATGCACAGCTTTGGCACTCATTATTCTTTGAAATTTCGTAACTATTTCTTGGCGTTTCATGTGAACTGATTAGCAAAAGTTAATTAGAAAATCATCAAATTATCAATGAAAAGTACAACTACAGCAGCTCGGCAAATGTACCTTACTTTTAGAAGCATCTAATATTCATGTATTTCTTTATGAATGCTTGAAAAGGATACGAGTATTTTTTAGGATCACGTTTGTCGGCGTCGAGCATATTTACATACATATATGAATATGTGCATACATGCATATGTAACACCTTTAATAAATTATCTTTAGCTATTACATCAGCGGCCGCCTTATTATATTTTATACTTGTTTTCGGCTAATACTTTCCCCGTTCCTGTGACGAAATTAATTGGAAAATATGTGGTATGTGTATAAAGAGAAACTTTCACCCAATATGACCCAAACACCACCCTTTGAATTTCTTACCTGGTGCTTTACGGACGTAACCACTGGCTCTGCCCGTGTATAAAACAGTATTATTTATTTTTAATAGCTTTATAAGTACAAAAAGACAACTTCAATGCAGTTAATTTTATTCAATAAGGGAATTGTATTCCTTTCACTCCTATTGGATATACTTTCTTGCCACTGTCGTGTTGCGAACGAAAAGCTGATTTTGACAATTCTTTTTCGCTGAGGTTACAGCTGATTCAGTTGCAGTGGCAGCCAAACTATAGGTGGATTCCAAATCGCCGGCACCCCTAACCGATTCCCATTAGCTCTGATCCAGTACTCCAAGAACTTACAGATTTTTACACGAACTTACAGGAAAAATGTTCCCGTACTCAAAATTCCTCCAAAATCCTGTAAATGAGAGTGTAGAGAATGAAATTGCAAGATTTTACCTGAGCTTTTTCTTCTGGTTAAATCATGAAAAGTGTCAAGCGATCACTGGTTGACGTTTTTGCAGGAAAAAAGCTTTTTTTTCCCGTACTTTTTGTTGTTACTCACTTTTTACTCTCACTTCAGAGAGTAATTTTGCTGTTTGACAATTTTACAGGATTTTACACGAAAAGTATTGGATCAGAGCTATTGATTCCGATAGTGTATTTTCGTCACAATAGCAAAGAAGGTAAATCTTACGTTCTTTGGCAATATGGATCGCGATCCAAATATCGTCATAATTACTAACCGTGTGACCAGAGAACGTATATGAACGTATATACGTTCTCTGGTGTGACAGGGACCATTGAATCATGGTGTATTTGGTATTCCATTTTGATCCCAAACCGATTGGAAAATAGACAGTTTTAGTAGCACTCCGTAAGCGCGCTTTATCTTTCTTTGACATTTGCAATCAGCTGTTGGACTTTTATCATTCGCTGTGATTCCAATTAGCTAGCGCATGTCGATTAGAAAATTAACTAATTGTTTATTACGTTTTTGTTTTTTTTTAAATAAAAATGTTAAAATCACTTCTTCGCTTAGCTCCTACGCGTAGTGTCCTGTGTCCAAATCTTCAGGTATTAAGATCTGGGAATCAGAGCTTGCTAACTGTCAGTGCATCGCTGTTATCGAAAACGTCGCGTAACTGCGCAAAGGTAGCCACAGAAGAGAATGCTGAAAATGAGACCCAGCCTCCCAAAAATCATTATAATCCCTTCGCTCAGGATAATCTAGCCTCAAATATGGACAAAAACACAAACTCTGCGCCGGCTGCCAGTGAAGAAGAACGCTCTAAACTGTTGAAGGTCCTACAACTAGAAGTGGACATTGCTCATCAAGAGGGCCGACGTGTACCGGCATTAGAGTCAGTCACAGACGAAAACTGGGCATTTATACTCACACTGCCTTCAAAGTCGGCCCGTTACAAGTACTATACATACTTGTGGCAAATCGAAGCAAAAAAGCAGGCTAAGGAGCGTAAAAAGGAAGAACGAGCGTTGCAAGTGCTGGAGCGCAAGGAAGAAATGCGCAAAGAACGCGAAGCAAATCCGCACATCATTTATGGCTTGGGTCACACGTCGATTTTCCTACGCATCTACGATTCGGCTATCAACGACTTTATGAACAACAGGTGAATAAGGTTATTTATAATTATTATTTCCAAAAGCGTGGGTTTGTAAATGGCTCTGCACAATATTTCTTGCTCCTCTTTACAGATTATCACGCGCTATGCAATTTTCGCCTAAAATTGTGCTAGACTGCTCATATGATAGACACATGACCCGCCGAGAATCACTGAATGCTGCCAAACAATTGATGTTATGCTTTGCTGAGAATCGCGCGCATGATGACCCTTTCGATTTGCACTACTGTAACGTTAATTTAGATAGCGTGTCCATTAAGGCCTTGAAACGTTATATACCTACCATGCTGAATCCGGAATTTCCCATGAATGTGCATGAAAAATGTTTCACTGAGCTGTTTCCCAAGGAAAATCTTGTCTATCTAACGCCGCATTGCCGCACAGATTTAGAAGTGTATAATCCCGATGATGTGTATATAGTTGGTGCGATGGTAGACACAGTGAGTATGCAGTATCTAAATAAATTAAACAAATACTTAATAACTGCTGTTTGTGTCTCAGGTCAATAATGAACCGCTGTCCTTAGGCAAAGCCAAACGTTTAGGCATACGTATGGCCCGGCTACCGCTCGACCGTTACCTACAATGGGGTGCGGGTTCAGGGAAATCTTTGACACTTAATCACATGGTAAACATTTTGTTGGACCTGAAAAGTACCAAAGATTGGACACAAGCATTAAAACATGTGCCTCGCCGCAAAGTGGTCGATATGGCCGCAGATGCGCAGCGACAGAGGCGTACATTGGAAAATCGCGCGAACAAACTAAACTTTCGTTTAGATGATATTTTAGATGAAAATCATAGAAATGAATGCAATGTGCGTAAATCAAATGTGAGAACGCCTAAGAAAAAAACCGAATTCAATTTGGAAACGTGGGGTTCCAAAAAGTAAAGTAAAAATACGAACTAGTTGTCTATTGTAAGTTTTTAGTTTCACAATATAATATAAGTTGTTAAAAATATGATTGTGCATTTGAAAACATGATTAATTGAGAGCAAGATACGATACATGCAGAAGCAATACATATGCAAATACATTCATATGTTAATTAATTATTTTCCACATTCATCCGCTCAACTTTATTGATCTTCTTGTATTTTAAAATACTGTTTTTTGAATTCAAGGCATTGTAATTAATCACCGGCGTTAAGTTAATAAGCTTCGCATACGCTTTCAACTTATCTTCGAACTGCTTGACCTCCTCCTTGCGCGCTACAGTCAATAGTTTACTCTCCAAAATAAGCAACGCATTATCCCGCAGCACTTCTGAGAAAACGCTTTTCAGAAATGGAAAATAATTATATCCCACAAAGACCACATCAAAAAAGGCATGCCAGCTTTCATTGGCATCAGCATTTTGCAGCGTAAAAATATCATCTGCTGAGAGAAAGAAAATCTTGCACTGCTCCACGTTAATCCAAGGCTTATCAAAGTCTTGTATTGCATCTAAATCGCTTTCGTTATATGGAAGACGTTCGCCCATTAGCAGCTTGACGGATCCGTATTTGCGAGAAATTTTACGATCATGAACATAAGTCGAACGCGTTTGTAACTCATGGAAATATTCTAATAGATTGCGCTCAGTAATATCTGTGGCACGATAGTCATTATCGCCATGTACTGAATTCAACATTTCCTTATCGACGGTGTTGAGACCGAATGTGCAAAAAGGTCCGGTTTGGATATCGCCTGCATAACCACGATGCCTATATTTTTCGCCGTTACGCACCAATCCAGCAGTGAGTGTTTTATTCGGTTTACATTGCTCGTATTCGGGGTATGTAAAAGCGATGCCAGTTTCGCGCCAGTAACGGTATTCCTGAAGTAAAATGAGGTTTCAAAATGTAATTATATTTGACGGTATTCATGCAATCACCTGCGAGCATATTTGCCCAGCTTCCCTATCCTTTAACACCATATTCAAATCCCAATCGAATACGCCTTCTCGGTAATCATAGCGTGCACCTAACAATTTGCGTACTCGTTCCATCCAATATTCTTGCACATTGAAAGCAAAACCTTCGCGGGGCAAGAGAAAATTGAATGCATTATCCAATCCATCACGATCACGATATCTTAAACGATCAATATTCAGTTGGGGTGCCAACTTCTGCAGCTCATCATCATCTGTAATCAATTTCACCATTGTTTTCGCTTTGCCTACCAGATATTGATGTGAGGATGGACGCATCAGTGCGTTTCCATACACATCCATGAAGAGATGTACCTTACGTACTAAGTGGAAGCCTTCGGAATTCTCGAGTGCTATGCCAAGTAGTAGCATATTGCGTGCCACAATTTCTATACAACCATCAAGCACATAGAAAGTGACCTTTCCACCGCTGTGTTTGTACATTTTGGCCATGGTTTTGATTATGTGGCGCGGATCACCGGCACCAAACAGTAGTATATTAAGATTTTTAGCCGCCGAGGCCGAACCGCCAATATCGCCACCTTCTGGTTCCGCTTCCGCTGTACATTCTTCGGTATTTGTAGATTCCAAATTCGTAAAATTTTCCCCTTTTGATTGAGCATCTTCAGAATTTCCTGAGTTTATCACGCTGCTGGTAACAGGCTCGTGGATTTTATGCGCATTGGAGTATTCCTGATAGAGATCCAGCGCTTCACTAAGACCCCAAAACATTTTCGATTCTTACGCAAGCCGAGTAAAGTCGTTCCTTGTTTAATTTAATTTATTTTAATTCTAGATGCCAGATGCCTTATTTCGTCGATAAATACAAATATAATTATTTTTTTATGACAAATTTTTTATTGTTGCTATGGGGTGTTTAACACGTAGCTAAGCAATTTTCATCAATGTGCTTTTGCACGTGCGGGGTGTCCTAGACCACCAGCCCACCTTTTCTAAAATGGAAGAAAAGGTTTTTTTTTTTTTATTGGAAAACACAAAAATTTACCGGAAGTGGGCTATCTGCTGAAGGGCTATGGCTGAAGGGGAATCCAGTTTTTTAAATGGTACATACATGTCTTTACTACAGATTCAGATTTTGTGCATAGAAATATGGGAGATTTGTTTGAAACATCTGGTCAAAACTGGAAATCGGTAATACGACTAAAAGAGATACAACATCCCCTACCTGGCAGTTAAAATTTTTGCAGTTTCCAATAAAGAACATTTTCCTCCATTTTACTAGGGGTGAGTCTGTGTATTTAGTATATTTAGTATATACATAAGTGCGGGTCAATCTCTATGAGAGATATATTCGAGTATGCGCGTATAGTACAGAAGGATTCCACCTGTAATTCTAAGTCGGGCGAATAAGGCAGTTATTTCATGTTATTAATTAAAAATGTATTACCGAGTTTTACCATTGCTTTATCCATACCTAGGGTAATAAATAGAACCTGTTTTTTAGTTTGTAATTATCCTTTTCAATCCATTTAAGATGAAATAGAAACAGGCAAGAACCTAAAAAAGGCAGCAACATAATATTTTTTTAAGTGCGATGCTCCGATTTATAAATTTAACCTTTTTTTGCTCTGTAGTCTACATTTGTACCATTTTCGTTGAACAATTCTAATAAATAAAATAATTCTACGACAACCGTGTCCGAGTTTTTCAATTGCTTTATGAAAATCAATTCAAAGCAGTTTTGGCTATTAAGCGTCGTAAAAAAAAATTATTTCCGATACCTTCAAAACCCTTCTTTTAAAAATGACTATCTCCTGGTTGGTAGTCTACGAATGTAGACACCATACAACAGCGTGCAACTGTCAATTTTACCCACACAAAAATTAATATATTCACGAAACTCAGGACAAAATATAATTAAACTGGGTTTTTAGTTATTTTTGGAACACAAGGGTATTGAAATCGTCCTTTTAACTTTATTAATTTAGGATCTCTATCTATCTAGGATAAACAAATTATTAAAAAGGGCATTTTCAATACCACCAACAAATTTAAGGTTTTTCAATTTTAAACAATTTTCTCTTTATTGGATTTTCATACTACATAGCACTGAATTTAATCATTTGTTAAATTTTTAATATCCTTGAAGATTGAAAGTCCTTTAAAAAAGATACTGACGTCGTAGAGAGAATCTAAAGACGCAGTGTGCTTTAAAATATTTTTGGTTTTTATCGCACATTATAATCTGCCTTGTCCGAGTTTAGCCTGAAAAAATAAAATAAAAATTCACCCGAAAATTTGTCATCCGCCCATAGTAAAACCATGGAAACCAAAAGT